AGTATATCTGAACTCACTTTCGAGAAGACTCTCGAAAAAAATGAATTTTACACATCTTTGGGAATACTTTGAAACTGGGACTCTGGGAGGTCTCTGAACAAGTAATTTAACCTCTCTAGGCCTCTGTTTCCTCATGCAAAATAAAGGAGCTAGCCTACAAGTTATTTGAGGTCCTTTCTAGCTTCAAATCTATTATTCTATATTGCTAGTGAATTCAGTCTTTTAACAACATTAGTTAAAAAGAAAAAAAAGGCTGGGGGGAGGGAGTTATAATTTCTGCTGATATAATTTCCTGAAGTTGTCAAATGAAAGGACTGAACACAAAGAATAAGCTAGTCTGTTGGAAAACAATTTAAGGGATCAAGCTTAAGTGAGAGCAATGTCACTGGGAATGAAAAGATAAGGCTAGTAGCGGAAAAGTGAGACATAGTAACTGATATGATATAGGGGATATATGCATAAAAAGCAGCAGTCAAAGATGACCCCAAGATTTCAAGCCATGGAATTACATTTCAAGATCTGCAAGTGGGGAAATAATTGGGCATCATGCTGTTGTTTCCTGCCTTCTACTCACTTCTAAACTAATTTATGGTTAGGTTAACTCTAATCATAGCAATTTGGGTGTTCATGGTAAAAAAAAATGCTACTTGGGTACTGATTGGGTATGTGATTAGAACCCAGATTCAGTGTTCCCTGGAAGGAAAGCCTAGAAAGGCTTCAAGGAAACACAGCGAAAGTATGTTTTCATGATTTTACTGCCCCTGAGTAGATAGCTCATTCATCTTTCACACTCAGCCTGACAAATTTATATTTTCTTCATAAAAATTCTAATTTGGAATATAACATTTTGAAATGACATGATTCTTTTTTTCATTTAGAATCAATGAGTATTAGAGTGAGGCAGGAGCTCAGAGACCATCTAGTTAAACTGCCTAATTTGACAGATGAGGGAACTGAAACCCAGAAGGGTAAATGAACTTGCCAACAGTCACCCAACTAGTTAGAGTCAATGTCAGAAGTAGAATACAGTACGCCTTCCACTGTCCCTAACTTCTTATTTATTTTCCTGATGATTGTATTTTATTTTTTTCCAATTTTTTCAAGTTACATGTAAAAACTATTTTTAATGTTCATTTAAAAAAATTTGAGTTCCCATGGAAGTAATGGTTGATAAATCAAAATAAATTAATTTTAAAAAAAATTGAGTTCCAAGTTCTCTCCCTCCTTCCCTTTGCCCCTCAATGAGAAGGCAAGCAATCTGATATAGGTTATACATATGCAGTCATGCAAAACGTATTTCCATATTAGTCATGTTGTGAAAGAAAACACAGACAAAAAAATACATAAAGGAAAAAACAATACACTTTGATCTGCATTCAGATTCCATCAGTTCTTTCTCTGGAGGTGCATAGCATTTTTCATCACAAGTCCTTCAAAACTGTCTTGGATCATTGTATTGCTGAAAATAGCTGTCATTCACAGTTGATCATTGTATAATATGGCTGTTAATGTGTACAATGCTCTATTGGTTCTGCTCACTTCACTTTGCATCAGGTCATGTAAGTCTTTCCAGGTTTTTCTAAAAGTATCTTGCTGATCATTTCTTATATTACAATAGTATTCCATCACAATCATATACCATAACTTGTTCAGTCATTCCCCAATTGATGGGCGTCCCCTCAATTTCCAATTCTTTGCCACAACAAAAAGAACTGCTATCAATATTTTTGTACATGTAGGTCCTTTTCCTTTTTTAAAAAATCTCTTTGGAATGCAGTTCCAGCAGTCGAAGGGTATGCATAATTTTACAGCCCTTTGGGCATAGTTCCAAATTGTTCTCCAGAATGGTTAGATCAGTTCACAAATCCATCAACAATGCAGTAGTGTCCTAATTTTTCCACAGTCCCTCCAACATTTGTCATTTTTCTTTTCTGTCATGTTAGCCAGTTTGATAGGTGTGAGGTAGCATCTCAGAGTTGTTTTAATTTGCATTTCTCTCCAGGGATAGGGAACCTGTGACCTTAAGGCCACATGTGGCCCTCTAGGTCCTCAAGTGTGGCCCTTTGACTGAATCCAAACTTCACAGAACAAATCCCATTAATAAAAGGATTTGTTCTGTAGAATTTGGACTCAGTCAAAAGACCACACCCAAGGACCTAAGGTCTATATGTGGCCTTGAGGCCACAGGTTCCCCACCCTTACTTGAGTCTAATCAATGGTGATTTAGAGCATTTTTTTCATGTGACTATAGCTAGCTTTGATTTTTTTTTTTTGTCTGAAAACTGTCTGTTTGTATCCTTTGACCATTTATCAACTGGGGAATGACTTGTATTCCTATGAAGTTGACTTGGTTCTCTGTATATTTGAAAAATGAGGCCTTTCTCAGAGAGACTTGCTGTAAAAATTCATCCCCCACCTCCAGTTTTCTACTTTCCTTTGAATCTTGGCTGCATTGATTTTGTTTGTGCAAAACCTTTTTAATGTAATCAAGATGATCCATTTTACATCCTGTATCTCTTTTTTACATCTCTCCCCCTCTTGTTTGGTCATAAATTCTTCCCTAATCCATAGATCTGATAGGGAAATTATTGCATGTTCCCCTAATTTGCCAATAGTATCACCCTTTATGTATAAATTACTTACTCTTTTTGACATTATCTTGGTATACTGTGTGAAATATTGTCCTGTCAAATTGCTTTCCAATTTTCCCAGCATTTTTTGTGAGTTCCTGTCCCAAAAGCTTGGATTTTTGCCTTTATTAAACACTAGATTACTATGGTCATTTACTACTGTGTGTTGTATAAGTAATCTATTCCACTGATCCACCACTCTTATTTCTTAGCCAATACCAAACGGTTTTGATGATTACCACCTTGTAATACAATTGGAGACCTGGTACTGCTAGGCTACCTTCTTTATTTTTTATTAATTCCCTTGATACTCTTGACTTTTTTTCCAGATGAATTTTGTTTTTATTTTTTGATTACTATAGTTTAGAGAGGGAATTTGACTATTATGCCAATGGATCCTACATGTACAATCTACTTTAAATTTATTTTCCTATCAATCTGTCTTCATCTAAGTACTCATTCATTTATTCACATTTATTGATTTATTAATTTGTCTCTTTTTTGATTAATTGACTCTAACCAGTAAGGAAGCTCCCTCCACCAGTGTTGATCAGAGGCAGCCACATTGTATATTGGATAGAGTGCTGGGCCTGGAGTCAAGAAGACTCCAGTTGCAGCTACTTACTGTGTGACCTTGGGTAAATCATTTACCCTCTGTTTGCCTCCATTTTCTCAACTTTAAAATGGGGATAATGATGGCACCTAGCTCACAAGGTTGTTGTGAGAATCAAATGAGGATATTTGTGAAGTGCTTGGCACAGTGCCTGGCCCTGAGTAGGTGTTACACAAATGCTATTATTAACATTAGCTGCAGCATCAACTACTCAGCAACAGAGTTTCCTGGGGGCAGTTAGGTTGAGTAGTTTGTCCAGAGACTTGAACCAAAATCTTAAGTTCTCTATTCACCATTTCATATTGCCTTTCAGGATAGGATTTATACAAACTGAAAAACGTAAAGTAATCTCTTTATTCACGTAGTATCTTACTCTGAGAAGCATTCTGACCTAATATCTCTGTACCTATGTGTAGCATGTAAATAATATGCACAAATATTCTTCATGTCATTATCTGGATATAAAAATTATTTACAGAGAGATGTTCACTGTTGAAAAGTTTATATTTCTAGTTACTTGTCTAGATAAGATTAAGATCACAGAATGCTGGGCTGAATATTACCCAGAGGTAGTGTTGGGTCAAGAAGATCAGGACACAAGTCCAAACTTTGGCTACGCACTTGCTGTGTGACCCTGGACAAGTCACTTAACCTGTAAGTGTCCCCAGGAAGGTCTCTAAGACTCTACATAGCAAAGCAGCTGCCAATATGCATTGATAAAGGGAGTTTCCTCATTTGCCAATTAAATGGCAGGTCTGGTGCCCCACCCCCACCTCCACCCCCAATCAACTCCTCATCAAACTTGTCTATTCTAATTCTCTAATTTCACAGATGAGGAAACTGATTCCCTGAGCAGTGTGACTTGCTTCAAATGAGCCAGCTGGTTCCAGGATTCATGTCTTCTGACGTGGGTTTGAATCCTGGAACCAGCTGGGTCATTTCTTTATACCATACTAAAAATTCAGGTTTCCTAATTGTTTCCCTGAGACAACACAGGCTAATTAAAATAAGAAAGAGTGGACATGACTAGGAGTGGGAGAGCTAATTTCCTATCTTTTGCTAAGGCGCTTTTGAGTGGCAACATCCTAAGTAATGATTTTTATTTATAGACTCTAAAATGAAAAATTCCCTTCTAATATTGTTCAATATCTTTCAGACGCTGAGGACAGTATCAAGGAGAATGTAAGTGAAGGAGGTTTGTGGTTGGAAATGGGCTTGTTCTTCAGTTTTTCCAGCAGAGTTTCTGTCATTCTACACCATTTGAGGAATGCATTGTCAGCAATAATACTAGAAAATAGACATAATTATTTGTTTGCAAAAATATTAAGAATGCTTGCTGCAAAAAGGAAGTAACTAGATTTGTTTGTGTTTCAGAAATGCTATATTTCATTACATCTATGAAGTAACATAAATCTCTGAGATTGTCTCCTTTTATTAAGACTTTCAGAAGGACGCGTATACCCTAACACTCGTTTACAAAATATTCAAAAGGGAAAGACAGTAAAAGATTTAAAATGATCAATGAGTGGGTATGGGGAGGTTCTTAATTGACACTTTAAAAAGAATTATTAGGGTTCCTTCAAATTTTATATGAATCTTGATTTGCACATTCTATAGCTCTTAGTTAATGAAAGTCTAGGCAACAGTCTCAACTATATTACACAATTTATTATATTTTTGTTTCAAAATATACATGTAATTAATTTGAAAATTAATATTACACTACTTACGAATGAAATAATGAAAGAGTAGGCTAGTATAGATGGAAAATAGGTTCCTTTTGACAATTCATTAATGTTGCCACTCATGAAGTTACCTATTGTTATATTCTGAAACTCATTTAATCTTTCATCTCAGTATTTTTTCCAAGTGTAGACATCTGTAACCCCCTGTTACATCATATCTTGCTTCCAAACGATGTAATTCTTGGCCTGCATTCTTCTTTTAGTTATCTGGGGATTCATTTTCAGTTCCTGAGGGGAAAAGAATGAGGCAATTTAAGTACTTGTAAGCAGTTTAAGTACTTGCTTGGCTGCCTCTGCTCTGGCTTAACTTTCTGTTTCATGGGCTCCAGTTTGTTAGCTGACACTCTATCAATAACAATAAGTGACATTTATAAAGCATTTTAAGATTTGCCAATAATTTCACATATATTATCTCATTTTATCTTCCCAACAACCCAGGGAGGTAGGCATGGCAGGTAGTACTTTTTTCCATTTTACAGAGAGGAAAACTAAGGCTTAGAGAGGTTAAAGAACTTGCCCAATGTCATAGAGCTTGTAAATGTCAAGGGTAGGATTCAAACTCTGGTGTCTCCGGTCTCCAAATCCAACATTTCTCCACTTTGTTACATCAGTATGTAAGACATACAGTACTACTGTAAAACCAAGCCAAAACCTTCTAGAACACCAACAATTTTCAGGTTATGATGTGGATCCCACTCTAGACTGGTTCCCATTTTCAGTTTTATAGTTACCTTCATTCTCTGTTCTGGATCTGCCCTGCCACCTCTTTCGATCCACAGCACCAATCCTAATCCCAAAGTGATCAGTTCTATGCCTTGACCCAAAGTTTTGACACAGAGGTTACACTGCAAGAACCAAGGAGGAAGGGAAACCTGGGAAGTATGGGATGATGAGTTCCCTGGACAGTCAGTTATTTAAATGCCTGCTGGCATGTAGGGTGTTGTTTGGCTGGTCCAGAACTAGATTAAGGAATTTAAAGCTTAGGGCTTTGCCTCAGCCTACTGATTGATTTCATCAACCCCAAGAAAAACATTTTTAAAAACTGGCCTATGAGGGCAGCTAGGTGGCACAGTGTATAGAGCACCAGCCCTGGATTCAGGAGGACCTGAGTTCAAATCCAGCCTCAGACACATAACACTTACTAGCTGTGTGAACCCGGGCAAGTCATTTAACCCCAATTGCCTCATCAAAAAGTAAAAACAAAAAAACAAAAATGAACCTGGCCTGTGATGGGAACACTTTAATCTATTTAAAAAAAGAAACTTTAATGCACATGGTATCATAATATTGTTATTGTTTAGTCATTTTTAGTCATGTCTGACTCTTCATGACCCCATTTTGGGGTTTTCTTGGCAAAGCTACTATAGTGGTTTGCCATTTCCTTCTCCAGCTCATTTTACAGATGAGGAAACTGGGGCAAACAGGGTTAAGTGACTTGCCCAGGGTCACACAGCTAGTAAGGGTTGTGTGTCTGAGGCTGGATTTGAACTCAAGTCTTCCTGACTCTAGGACTAGCACTCTATCCACTATACTACCTAGCTTCACCCATAATGGTAGTGCCTTGTATTTATTTTGTATATACTTATAAGCATGACATTCCCTTCAAATGTTAACTCCTTGAGGGCAGGAACTGTCTTATTTTTGTCTTTGTATCTGCAGTTCCTAAGACATTGTCTGATATATACTATGATGCTTAATAAATGCTTATTGATTAAGTCATATTCTGATACAATGGATCTTTGCATCCAAATCCAAAAAATTTTTGCATTAGCATTGCTATACAGCACTAACTTTCTAATTCATTTGTGGCTTTTAAATCTTTTTAGTGCCTTTATTGTATGGTTCACAATTGATGTGTTTTTTTTTCCTACGAGTTAATTAATAATTCATGACAGATAAAGTCTTTCTGGTTCCTGGTTAGCACTGTTCAGGATCTGGATGGCAATGGAAATGAAAACTCCTAAAGACCATCTGAAATGATCACAGACTAGATGTGAGGCTCTGGATATGACCACAGAATAATCCATGATTTCTTATACAACGAAATTTCTTGAGTGTAATTTTATACTTACTGAAATTTATTACATACAAAAACTTCAGAATATGTGCTTGGAATCTTGGCTTCTCTGTAAGTAATAATGGGTTCCTTTTCTTATTTATTAATTCTAATTTGGCTTCTCACTGCTGTTAGATTATATTACTGTGAAGCTGGTCTCAGGGTCAATGGCACCTCCCTCCCTCTTCCCCCCTCCCCCATTGGCCAGGTCCATAACATTTACGTCCTATTTCCTGTGAGGAGCGAACAAGTAGACCTGACAGATTTTCTGGGAACGACCCCAGTACCAAGGGGCAGAATTTCGTTCCTGACAACTCGGTTCCATTGGGCCACTTTTCCAAGCAGAAATTAACAGAGACGCCAACAGGCCATCTCCGTTACTGCACAAATACAATATCAGCTTTAATTATGTCTATCACCTACCTTCTAAGGGATCTTGGCTACTCTGAGCTTCTGAGACTTCTACAGAACCTGTGTTGAGAAATTCTAAGGCAAAAAAAAAATAAAATGCGATGAAAAGAATAAACTCAACACTTACAGTTAATCATTGTTTGAACACACCCTCATTCCCTATGATTTTCTCCCCTTCTTTTTGTGTTCTACGGCCTTTTAGGAATCACAGATGCTCTAAAATCTAGATCATTCTGAAACAGTATTGGTCTAAGTGTCACAGCCTCCTAAGCCAGGGATTTTAGCCTTGTCTCCTGCCCCTGAGCAATAGCAGGATTCACAAGAGCTGGAAAAACATCCTTAACAGCAACCATTGGGATTCACTCCCTCAGTGCTCAAACTTGTGATTCAGGGAGTCTCAGGAAAGGAAGTAGGTAGAGTGGAATGAAAGATCCTAGATTCAGAGCTGGAGGACCCTTGGAGACCATCCAACCCAACCTCCTTATTTCATAAATGAGAAAACTGAGGGCCATTCAAACAATTTGTGATATATCATTTTAAGGGGTAAGGAGCTAATCATGTAAGCATGCATTAGTTATAATATACAGAAATATTTTCATTTACATGAAATCAATTTCAAAACTGATTAGCTCAAATCCAGTATTCCTTTCTCCTTAGATGAACAAAGGTTACCTTTGTCAAAAGATAACTGAAAAACTAGACAATTCTCTCTTCTTTCTCTCTCCTTTTCTCTCTCCTTCTCTCTCTCTCTCTCTCTCTCTCTCTCTCTCTCTCTCTCTCTCTCT